TAATTCAAGAATTTATACCGCTACAAAATTACATCTCAAAGAGTAGGTCTGCATTTTCACTTTTGTCAACATACAAAATAAAGCATTACACATGCATGATCACCGAATGCAGTATTGCTTTCATTATTAAATACTTATTAGTGTGATATTTAGGTATTATTCGATATTATTTACCTCGACAGTAATTTTCATTCGGTTCCACTCTATAGTCCCAATCGATATCAGTGAGCTGCAGACTATCGGAAAAAGCAGGAATATCATAAAAAATGCTTCCATCGCCAACTTCCAGAAGAAGTATGTTCCAATCTTCTATTTCGGACAAACGATTTGCCATCACGGCTCCTATATTAATCGTAAATTGTTAATTGTAACGTGTAAATTGATAGAATATTGTAAATAGAACATACGTAAGAAAATCTAATCTATTTAAACGTCACAAATATTTTTAAATCAAAAGTTCCTGGTTTAATTTCAAAAAATCGAGGAAGGGAGAAAATTTATCGAAGTCATGAAACAAAACTCTGGGTAAATTCAAAATACGATTACAAAATAAGCCTAAAATTGTTTACATGAAGGAAATAAGGACTTCAAATTTCATCGTTAATATATACAGGGGGGTCTATATCTGGTGGTACAAGCGGAAAGGGGGTGATTCTACGCGAAAAAAGAAATCGAAAATATAGAATAAAATTTTTTTTTTCAATTTTTCCATCGAGACAACGATCTACAGTGAGATCCTTTACAACGAGACGTAATAAAGTGCACGCGTACCGAGTGAAAATTCAAAGTCGATTTTCTCGAAAACAAAGCCTCGAACGAAAAATTTTTATTCTGTATTTTCGACTTCTTTTTCCGCGTAGAATCGCCCCCTTTCCGCTTGCACCACCAGTTACCAACCACCCTGTATAAGTGATGTAATGGAATTATATAAGAGATGTAAACCGAAAGTCGTCCAAAGCCAAAAGGTATGGACAAAGTATAAATAAATAAATAAAAAATACTGAAAATTATTGGCACATAAATGATAATTTTATTGCATCATCTAACATATTGTGAATTATTCTCTGGAGATATCAGAACGATCCAGAAATTCGTAGAAATTTGATACGCCTACTTTTGTACGCTAAAAATATGAGATTGATGAAGATCATTCTATTAAAAAGAGATTTAAGATGAAAAAAATTGGACAAAATAATTACAAATAAGAGCTATCTTGTCATGGTTAAAAATGTACACGAGGTTATTGAGAATATTTATTCGACTAATAATATTAGATAATTAACAAGTTACAACTTTAAGTTACTACATTACAGACTTCTGCTAAATGAACATGTTGCAAATTACAAACTGAGTCGTTAATGTTATTATTATAAAAATTAAATGTTATTTAGAAAAATATTAATTTCTAGATTTTCAATTTTACAAGTCACAATAATTTACTTGTAAAATTTTTACAGAGGAGGTTTTAGAAGAATAATCATTTTTATTACATATTAATTTTAAAATTAATGATTGTCTACTAATCATTGAATTTTTACTGATATCTAACATTTACCTGTAAAACTTGTTTTATCCCAAAACTTGTTACTGTTATACAGGAGAATTGATTAGTATTAGTAACGTATAACTTATAACTTGTAAATTTTCGTTAATAATATTAGCTCGATTGTGCAAGAGAATCTTAATATTAGAAAAAGGTTGACTACGACAAGTCGAAGACAATATAGACGTATACTTACATATACGTATATGCACATGCATATTGGCCATTGTGGCTGTATGTAAAAAACATAGTCAGACATATCGTATATAATGACGTATCTCGTTGCATTTATCGTGGGAATCACGAATGTAATAACGGAGATACCATCAATGAAGCCGGTCAAAACAATTCTAAGAAAGAGAGAGAGACAGACAGGTCGAGGAAAGGATTAGCTGCCAATCGATCAAAATTATTAAACAACGCATATCTAATTATTAAACAACACATATTTGATACAAATAGGAACAGTAGACAAAATTTATTGTAAAATATGCTACATTTCAAATGTTTTTAAAAAATTATTATTAGTACTTGTTAAGTTATGAAACTTATTAAATAATATTCATAAACCGGAATAGTTAAAATTTTGTAAATTTTTTCAAGGAAAGAATTAGATATCAAAATACATATATATATATATCAGTAATAAATAATACACTTTTTAAAGACTTCATTGAATAATTTTAGTTTGAAGAATATGAATTAATTAAATATAAACTATTATTATGGTTAATAATATGTTTAGTAATTATTATATCTATTTAATTATGCCACATATATTTCGATTTTACTTTTCAATTTTATAAATGGATATAGTTGCTTGCGATTATTTCCAAGGAAAATATTAATTTAATTTCAGTGTATGCATTATTGTATTATTATACTAATACACAGTGTATGTATACTAGTGGACTAGTACGTAACGTGGATTACTGATATATGGAACAATTTTTAAGCAAATGAATATTTATAAACGAAATAACTACATATTTTTTATAGTAGCAGTTAAGTTATTCTCTGTAGCAAAAAATATTAGATTATAAAAAAGTTGGATTTCAAAACAAACACGGCGTAAGCAATAGCCATTGTTACTTGACCTCTATCAAACATAGGAGCTCATACAACTCATTGTCGGATGCCAAATTATTTCTCAGTTTCTAAAAAACAGATGGAGATAAAATATATCCTATTCTCTTTCCTGGATAATAAACTATACGATAGAGAAAACGTTATCAAAATCTGTTCAGTTCAGTTTTTACGTGCCAAATTTAGTTCTTTGGATTCCAAAGCTTACGCTGTTTCTGGATGACTATCTTCTTTATTTTATCCAGACACAACCTTTTACTGCTTTATTATGTATATAAATACAGCATTATCATAGTACATAAATAGATATTTCGTTTAATAAATTCAGAGTATTTAAATTTCAGATTTCAAATTTGGAGTATTACAATTTTATATTATTTTTAAATAATTAAATTAATTATAATTACTTAAATTTTAAATAAGTATATCGTTAGAAAATGGATGTACTTATAGCGTAAGTACATATATATAAAAATATAATCTTTGAATATTAAAAATAAAGTCTTAGAATAGAAAATTATCAATGGTTATCATTTTAAATTCAGTCACTTAAAACAAAATTTTTATTTAAATTAATAAGAAAGTTGATAAAATAATTATATCCATGCAAAATATATGCAAACATAAATAAAGAATAATACAAATAAAAGAAGTCTCTGCATTGTTTTCTATCATAATGGAAAATTGTCTAATTTATCTAATTTATCTACTTCTGTCTTTTCAAATATAAGATCTGAATATATTTCTATCACAAATCCTAGTCAATGTCTCTATGTATGCATATGTTTGTATGTTTATACGTTTGTGAGATATGTTTATAAGCGAAATTAGTAAAGTAGAAAATAACTGTTTTTATTATCTGTTGGACATCTAGTATGTTTCTTATTATCTGTTGATAAATCGAAAGAATGTGAGATGTAATAAGAATTATGTGTGCAATTAAAAAAAATATCTTTATTTTAATATCTTAATCGATTTGCTCAATTTAATCATTTTAATGCACTTGCTCGTATGTTTACATAATGCTACAAAAGTCGAAAAATCGTTTTCATTCTTTTTCATTTCACAATATCATATTTAAAATAGATATACATATATCTATAGTTACAATTTAAAATTAAACAAACAAATTAAAAGAATAGAAGAAACAATATATACTGTGTAATCTTTAATATGATTGTAAACTGAAAACTAAGAATACGATATACATAAAAATTAGCGCACTTAACTTAAACATGCAACCGGAAGTAAGAAGCGCTCATTACGAAAAACGATATATTTTAAAACAATGGAAACAATCGATTACATTGACTGATCGCTCAACTAACATTTTATACAAAATTTTGTTTAGTCATAAACCAAATATTGTTGTTTACTACATAATGATATTATTAAAAGAATAGATATTATAACGTTTCAATATTGTACGAATATAAAGTTAAATCATATAGCATAAATTCAGAAAACTGATCTATTTTGAATTATACATACATATATTATACAGACAATCATAATACAGACAAAATCTGTACTCCAAACTTAATATAGAGAAATTTTTAAAACTTAATCTTCACAATAATCTATATTATGAAATATTCTTTTCTTTTAATTATTTTATGAAAATTAAAAAAACATGTACAATGGTTACAAATAGTATTTGCACTTATCTTTATTTTCCAACGAAGCATTTTTCTTACCAGGTTCTGTGCATTTCATTTCAAAATACCATTAAATAGTGCGAAATTTAATATACCTATGGACCTAACTAATTATACAGTATGTAAATGCTATTATAAATACAATGGTGTGCAAATAGATTTTTGTCGACAACTTACAACAAAATAAACGAAATGGATATAGCCGATACAGGTTATAAAATGTCGATAATGTATCAACCGACCCCAAGCTGTTACAGCGCTATCTGTAGACAGAATATAAAATTATAGACTTTTTTTGAATGAAAGCGTTCTTAATATTTTATCTACGAGATTCATACTTACAAAACGTTACATGTTACTTATTGTTAATAACGCGCTTATGCGTGATTTGCGTGTGAGTACATGTTATTGTATGCATATGAATGTATGTACGTACAATACATGTCTGTACACAGTGCACATATACATATATATACATATTTACACACGCACACACACAAAAGGCATATATATACACACACACACACACACACACACACACACAATGTATATATCTTTTCTCTACCCTGTTAAAATATTTATAAATATTTACATGATTTATCATATTATTATCAGAATATTATAGGTCTTTAGATTAGAATTAGCAATTAATTAATTACTAATTAGTAATGTATAATATAATTTTAGGGTACAAACAAAAGTCTATTACGGACTATGAAAAAAATGTTATATGTTAAGAAAATAGACATTTACTAATTGCAATACTGATACATGTAGTGAAATGAGGTACGTTTCGAACACTCATAATTCAATAAAGGATAAGAAATAAGGAAAGCTTTTTTAAAAAGAGATAGCAATACCACACGCCAACTTTAAGGCAGCGAACGCATACGATGTGTCACGTGGGCAGGCGCGACAAGCGCATATTCCAGAGAAACCTGGCGCCCTGGTGGCGGTCTTTGGGGCGGCCATATTTTCTCTCGTGGATTTTAGTCACGAAGGTGGTGGTTCGCTGACAATTTCTGGGATGCGCCGTTTGAAGACATTCTCGCGTGTTTTTTACTCATAAATAAGTGATCAGTGCCCATCATGGCTAAGCGGAGTAACAATTTGAGTGGAAGACGGTCGTCGTCGCATAATACGAAGCCCTACGATGCAAACAATGTGAGTAATATCTCCTTGGCACGAGTCTACCGCGACAGAAACGAATTTGCCTCACATCCAACGGTTCTTCGCGCCTTACCGCTTAAATTAGACCTCCCAACGAATTTGCTTTATGTACCAACCTCTTTTCAGTCTACCTTTTGCATGACTTATGTTTTCCTAAAGTGCTATTTCAACGGACCTGGACGACGTCACGGTTATGTGAATCCACTCGATAACCTCAATCTTTCCCATACTAAGTAGATACTACAATACTTCGCTCATGAGATACCTATCAAGACGCATATAACATATAACCTTGAAACGCGATTCCTTACCAGGAAAATCTTGAGGAATGTATTAAGCGAATCAATTCTCGTAAATTTATCACTCTGTCAGCTTAAAGAAATTTAAATGTTACCATTTGCATCTAGTATGTATGCGAAAAAGACACGCGTGATGTTGAAAAATCACGTTTTGCGCAAATTCATGCAATATCTTGTAATCTTTTCTGAAGATCATTTCTTTTTTTTCTAATGATAATATTCGTTTAATTCAATTGATTTAAGTAAATATGCAACTTAATCTGCTTTCGGTCGAATTATTTTAACCTCAATTTCTAAGAATGACTTTTTATGTATTTTAATTGTTATTATGTTTACGCAACTACACATGTTAGTTTGACGAAATATTTATAGATGAATCTTATATCTTAATAACCAATTTTTCATCTCTAATTCTGTGTACATTTGTTAGAATTATTATCTAACAAGTACATTAAATGAAATATGACTACATATAATACAAACATGTATAATGTAAATAAATAATTTCATTTTATTTAATATAAGTATATATATACATATATCTTCTTTCCTTTATGTAATTTATATTCCATTTATTAATATTTTTTATTATGTTTATCATAATACTACACAATTAATATTATATATATGAATATTATAACATATGTACTACTTAATATTTCTTTTCCTTTTTCCTCGAGGAAGGGAAAATGCTATTACACATACCCAGTGATTGAGTATATAGAATTCAGCGGATGGAATCGCCATATCCACTAAAAACCCCACCTCTATCCGTCCCTCTTATGATACAGGAACCAACCCCAGAACCGCCTTTCGACATTACTTCAGGGTTGGCCTTAGTGTGTATCCCTCACTAGTTTAGCCTTCTTAATTCAGTCTACTAGCTTGTCTTTTCCTCCTCTCCACAATCATCTCTTGCACTTGTCTTTCTTGCATGATCTTCCTAGAAAACGCTTGAAACCTAGTCCAATTGTTCTCTTTCTTGGTTACTGCCTCTATCAAATTTTCCACCATAAGTGACATGCTAACGTAGCTTTCAAATTCAATCCTCTCGTAAATTCACCCAGGGCAGTGGAACGACGCATGCTCGAGTGATCCTCCTTACTAATCGTCTTTCGATACACACTTAAAAGTTAAAGGAGGTTAAAAAAGTACAACCATTAGAAATTAATTTCCTCGTCCAATTGTCACTTCTATAAAAACTCCATTCCTCTCTCTACTTTTCGTCAATGCGTTCTTTCACCGCCCTCATTCTATCCACAAAATTTGAGGTATCTCCTGCTCTGGAATGGGTCTCGTACTGTTCCTGTTGATAACTCCTTTTAAATTCATACATGTATTATTTAATATCTATGCATTTATTTCCTTTATATTTCAGTCTTTTGTAAAAAAAGTAGCAACAAAAGTGACTGATCTTTTACCACAAAGGTTGTGGATTAGTAAGTGGTTTAATACATCTCAAAATGATGAAGATATATTAGAGGACAATGAAAATCCTGAAGAGGTTGAATCAGAAGAAGATATTCAGAAACCTCCACCGATAAAACGACCATGTATTCGTATGGATGTCTCTCATCCACCTGGTACATTTTCAATTCAACCAAGAACTAAATCAACAATTAACAAAGCCAGTCCATCTAAGCAACAATATTTCATTCATGATCAAACGGTAATATATAAAAATGTTATATAAAATTGTTATATAAAAATGTTGTTAATTTGAACATATTTTCTTCAATTAATGGTTTTATAGAATGAAGATCTTTCTAAACCTGCAATGGCTGGACCAAGCGGGATGAGCCATTTAGTATCTTCTACACCTGCAACACAATCAGATATTAGAAACATAGCACCACAGAGGTCGGAATTAAATTCATTAGTTGCTACTACAAATAATGGAACTACAAATGGTATGGATGATAATTCTGAATCCAGTGAGAGCACTAGCTGTTGCAGTTCTCTTATTCCACAAACCAATAGACAAGAAGCTCCATCAAATGTCTCTTACAGCTCTCCATTCTCTAAAAGAAAAAGGTTTAATAATGACAAATTAAATTTCAGTAAGTAAACTTTATCTTCTTTGTGATTTTATATTTAATAAGAAATATTTTTTCATGTTTAAATATGTCAAAAATATATCATTTCCTCTTTTAAAAATATAAATTCTTATTCAAGATATATTTTAATATACAAATTTTTTTTAGCCGGCCATATACAGTCTCCAAGATCTTTATTTTTAGAAAATACCCGAGATTCCTTAAGTAGTCGTAGACCAAGCTTTAATGCATCAATCATGACAAACACGCAGGATCGTGCATCTGCCTTGGCATCTCCTTTTTACAGTGGAAATACCACTTTTGGTGGAGCAAATGCAGCTGGTCTTTATAAACGAGGACGTAATTTGTTTAATAGTTCAAATGAGGTATGTGTTATTAATTTTAATTATTGTTCTTTAACTATTTTCAGTATTATTTATGGTATATTAATTGCTACTAATTTCAGATTCAACTTCAAGTTCCTAAAAGAACAAGTGTTGAAGTAAAACCATCTAATACAGATTCATCTGGTATGAGTCAAACTGCTAAAAAAATATTGGAAGCATTAGAACATTTTTCATCGCCAATAACTGATGCTAAAAAAATTCCATTAAAAATGATGAATAATATATCACCAACAAATAAAAAGAGATCGAGGGAGGAAATGACGTCAACAACTAAAGTTGGATTACGTCATTTAACTCGCGAATTAACTGTACCAACCATACCCGATATATTAAAATTGAGACGGCGGCAAAAATTACAAGATACGACAGCTGCAGCTAGAAAAATTGTTTCGGCACGGAGCGAACCACCGCCTCCTCAAGAATATCATCTCAGGTGAATATATAATTATTATTTATTCAAAATATTGGTATGTATAATTATTTGCCAAATAAACATTGGTAATCATTAAATATACAGTCATAATATATGTAATTTCTTTTGTACAGGACACAAACTGATGAAGATTCAAAACATCATGGAAAAATTAAAACCAAAGCAGCAAATCTTGAGCAAGAAGATACAGTTGAACCAGTTAATTTACCAAACATACCTTTACCTATATCTTCTTTACCTAATTTCAACTTTATGTCATCTACTAATACAAATATAGGAGACAAATCTAATACAGGCGAAGAAGATACCTTCACATTTGCAAGTCCTATAAAAGTAACAAATACCACAAAGAACTTAAAATCTATCAATAATTTCACATTTAGTAGCCCAATTAGTGCTGATAAGGAATCAGTTGATAAATCTAGTAATTCAGATTCTCCTTTAAAAAGAGTTGGTGTCAAGTCCACTTCATCAAATGACTATGTACCCCCTGTAACACAAAATTTTATTTGGTCTGGTTCATCTACAGCTCCTAGACTAAAAGAAAAGATAAAGAATAATGATAAAACTATTCCTATTACTTCAAATGAATTAAAATCAGGAAGTGTGATGGATATTCTTTGCTCTAAATCTAGTACAACAAAAGCTGAAAAATCAGATGAATCAAAGACGCAGTTAGAGTCAAACAAAGAATCTACCAATAATAAAACAAATGCAATTGACAAAGTTATTATTGAATCTGTTAGAAATGTACAATCCAATATACAAGATACTTCAATTATGTGGGAATGTTCTGAATGTTTGTTTAAGAATAACAATTCTGAAACACAATGCTTTGCTTGCAAGATTACTAGACCCAGTTTTAAGGATAAGAAGACTTCTGAATTGTCAATATCAAGCAATGTCAGTGAATCAAAAACTACAGCGAATGATAATTTTGGCTCGCAGTTTAAACTTTCAAGTAATCAGTGGGAATGTACATCATGTTTTGTAAGAAATAAACAAACTGATACTAAGTGTGCTGCGTGTAGTGCACTAAAACCAGATACAAAGCAAGAGACGAAGTCTGGGAACTGTCCTAAATGTAGGTTAAATGATTCTGAAAACCCAACTATGTGTACTTTTTGCAATACATCTAAATCAAGTATATTACAAATGAGTGTACAAGACAGTACGAATCCTACAGATAACACAAATATTTCTGTATGTCAGAATATAATCAATGCATCAATTGATGAAAATGAAGATATGGATAAATTAAACTCAAACAAGGATACATGGGAATGCCCTTGCTGTATGGTTAGAAATCTCATTTCTATTGATTCTTGTCCATGTTGTAATACAGCTAAACCTAGTACTGGGATTGCTACTAAGAATGCCTCTCCTTTATTTTCAAATGGATTTGGAGATAAGTTTAAAAAACCTGAAGGTGCATGGATTTGCAATACTTGCATGCTACAAAATGAAACAAAAGTTACTACATGTGTAGCTTGTGGTGATGCAAAGCCAGGCTCAACAAAACCAGATAATTCTACTTCTACAAATACTAATTCTAATTTACAATTTAATTTTGATATGCCTGCAAATACTAGTGGTTTTAAATTCGGTATTGACAAAGCTGATCAAGAAAAGACTGATACTACAATATCTACAAATGGTTTTAAATTCGGTGAAAAACAACAAAGTAATCAAACAGGTCAATTTACATTTGGTATTCAAAAGGAAGATACGAAAACAAGTGAAGTACAGAAATCTGATAGTAATGTCTCTTTGACCTCAGGAAGTGGTTTTGGAGTTCCAAATAAAGTAAATAATGCTGAAAAGACTGATGTAAAACAAGATTCAGAAAACGTGGGAAAAAGTTCAACACCACTATTTTCGTTTGGTATAGCTAAGAGTGAAAATGGAACAATAGAAAGTGATAAGCAGATTGTAAATGTAACAACTTCTACATCAATTGCACCTACCTTTACATTTAATATGCCTAAGCCTAGAATTGAACAAACAGACATAAAAGAAGAAAAACAAACTCCTTTGCTGGAAAGTACTGTGGCAGGAGCTTCAAAGCCAAACATAGAAGCTATCGAATCTACTACTACTAATACAAATACATTACCTTCAGTAACTCAAAGCAGTATACAAGAACCTAAATCAACTGCTGCATTTTCTTTTGTTGTACCAAGTAGCACAAGTACAATTACTAGTAGTGCTTCTACAACTGTGGTATCAAGTCTTCCATCTTCTACTCAATCTTCCTTTACATTTCTTGAATCAAAATCAACTACGCAAGCACCAGCTGTACCAACATTTGGACAGATATCAACA